CTGCTAGCTAAGCCTTACCAGTATAGTAGAGAAAGCATGCAATACCGGCTCACCAGAAACAGTCATCCAGGAGAGTGCACATCATGAAGAAGAGCTAGCTTTCCCTTTCCAGGAGTTAAATTTGTATTTAAATTAATTTCTGACAAAGCCAAACTGAATTCTTTCTTCCTATTTCTTAACACTCAAGTTTGACAATCTAGTGTACTTTGGAATAAGTCAGATATGAGTTTGAGTTCTTCCCTAAATTTCAGTTTAAGCTCAAAAAGAGAAATAAATGATTTCCTTTTCAGTTTTGTTGTAGTAATTAAGAAATGTATGTAGCAGGGTACCAGTGGCTCATGCCACAACATAAAAAGGACAAACACAATTACACATTACCACATAAAATAAGGATGCTAACAGCTTTTCTTATTAGTGTAAGAATACAGTATATTGTAATTTTACTTTAACTCCCCCCCCCCCCCCCCCCCCCGTCATGGGGCTTGAACTGTGGACGTGGGCACTGTCCCTGAGGTTTTTAGCTCAAGGCTAGTGTTCTACCACTTTGAGCCACCACTCCCCATTTTCTGGTGGTTAATTGGAGATAAGAGTCTTATGGACTTGGCTGGCTTTGAACCACGATCCTCAGATCTCAGATTCCTGAGTAGGTATGACTACAGGTGTGAGCTACCGGCACCTGGCCACTTTAATTCTTAAAGTAAAATGATGACAACCAGAACGGCTACACAATAACTGATTTTTGAATGTATTACTGCTTGACTCTAAAGATTGCGCAGTTACCTAAGCCTGGCAAGAAGGTAACAGAATGATTGCTTAGGAAAGTAACGAAAAAAGTTGGAAGTTTTCACCAGAGGCTTGTTTGAATGGAGACTCATTGGGAGTGTAGAGTCATTCCCAGGAGGGCTTGTGTGCATTGAACTTTGGGGACTTGAGACCGTCTCCAGGCAGTTGGTTCTAATCGATGGCCATGTGCAGTTTAGGGTCTAAGGAGGCTGGAATGACACAGGCTGCCGACAGAACAGCCCACTGATCTGGGTATGTGTGGACACAGCCTTTGTGAAGGTCTTCACAGACTGTGGATAAAAAGTCTGGATATTTTCTCTTCTGGCCCTCCTGGTCAGCTCCATGTGTGACCACAGGGGGGCACCAGTGCTTCTGCCCTCAAGCCTAAGTACCCTGCCCTTGCCCTTTCCAATATGCACGAAAAACTCCTACTCAAACATCTAGATCTTGATCCAATATCCCCTTTTCTTTCAACTCTATTCTCTTGCCCAAGGCCTCATTAGTAAGGAGTGACATAATGGAAAGACCAGTTCTGTCTCAAACTGATCTGAATTTAAACCTGATGCGAGTACCTAGAAATGGTGTCATCTTAGACAAATTATTCTTCCTGAAGCCGAGGCCCCCATTTTTTTTTTTTAAGTGAAAACTCTTCACTCCCTATACTTTGAGAGATCTTCTCTGGCAATGTTGTACTATTATTCTTTTGCCCACCTATGTGTCTCTTTGTGAACTCACTGAGATGAGTAATCTTGTCTTTTCAATTGGTTTGAGACCTTACAAGGTACCTAACTGACTCCATGTCATTTGAATCCGTGTCTGGTTTTATAGAGCTAACTCAAGGACCAATAGGATAATTACAGTCCAAGTTCTTCTATAAAGTGCTTTTTGGACATGGCTGTGCCCATTAGTCTAAATTCCTATAGCTCCTGTGCATACTGCTAGGACAGCTTTTATCACAGCTAGCTCCACAGGTTTCCAGTGATTCTTCCAGCAATCACGGCTTTCACTCCCAAGCCCTCAGGACACATCAAAATGCTCTGCAAATGCCAGCTAATAACGCTATTTCAAGTACCCTCTTGTCTTTTCCATTCTAAACAATCTGCCTGTGCAGGTTATCCTGAATTTACCCCCAAGGTCCCAGATCCTGAGCTCTGTACAACAATGTCTATTTCTATAATCCTTGTCCTTGGCTCAAAGTGAGTAAAGTCTCTTAACCCCACTTGCCTAACTCTTCAGAAAGCTGCAGGCCTCCTTTCTTCAATGCTCTTTCTTCTTACTGCCCCTCTGTGCGTTCTGTTTTTGGATAAGAAGAGTCTTCTTGTTAATGTATTCGTTATAGAAATTTGGAAAACTTTGGTTTTTATCAATTCGATCCCAAGTAAATCTGGTGATGAAAGCTACCTTGCAAGTCAGAAAATAGAGAACAATCCCGATTGTTATGCTAGAGACTTGATAGGCATAGGGGAAAAGAGGGAAAACTGTGACTGGAGGCAGGTGCAACCATGGAGCTGTATTGCAACAGGAGTCAAGTGATGGCTCAAATAGAAACAGCCTGCTCAGCCCTGCTTATGAGAGTACCTGTCTTTATCTCACTAGTCTTAACAGCTATTGCTTCATACAAGTGACCCCATGAACTATCTGAAAACCTTATACCAGGACACAAATGGGGAACAAACTGCATTCCAAAAAAATCTCAACCCATTCTTGGAAATCCCCACCCTTTGCTACCTTAAGGCTAAATAATAATCTTCTTCATTACAGTTTTAAGATCATCCCTTTCATTCTTGACTAAACTTCCTTCTACTTTGTTACTTTGTTTCTCATCTGAATTCTTTCGGTAAAGAACTTGAAATCACTAAGTAGACATCTGAATTTGGTTTCTATCTCAGAGACATTCCTAGCCTTCAGTAACTTATAAGGTTATTGACATTCATCAGATAGTTTATGTCAAATATCTACCACTAACCAGATTCAGTTAGGACTTATACAGGACACAAAGTATAATATAGACATTTCCAAGAATTGTAACATCAATAACAGATTAGATGTATCTTTAGTAAGGCCAAAATTTGTGTGGTGTGTTTTTTAATTGCATGTATTAGAAACTCTAAGCTATTTACCAATGATTAGAATATAAATTCTAGAGCGAGGCACTGGTGGCTCACACTTACAATCATCCTAGCTACTCAGAAGGTAGAGATCTGAGGAATGCAGTTTGAAGTCAACCCAGCAAGGCATGTGAGACTTCAATTAACCATCCAAAAGCCTGAAGTGGAGCTTATGGTTCAAGTGGTAGAATACCACCCTTGAGCAAAAAAGCACAAAACGCCCAGGCCCTGGGTCCAAGCCCTAGGACTGACACAAAAGCAACAAAAAAATAATTATAAATCCTAGGATAGAACTTGGATGCTTATTAAAAGAGGAGAGTAGCCATGTGGTAAAACCATTAAACAAAGTCCAAGAGAGATAGTTAGGAGGATCAGTCTTGGGCTCATTAAGTCACTATTGCTCTTGGGGTTATACAAGAAAAATAAAAGTTTTGAAATTCATCAGGGATGTCAAAACAAGTTTTATCTGCTATCATAATTAGTTTGAAACCTGTAATATTATGTGGAGAAGAATGCTAAGGCCAGCTATAACCTTAACACAACATGTACCAAGCTACAGTTGTTAGGGCAGCAAGATAAAAGGAAAAGAGAAATGAGAGAAAACAGGATGAGAGGAGGTAAAAAGTTATTCTCTAATACAGCAATAAGATACTAATATTGCCTCTTTAAGAGATCAAAAAGCTGTATGAGCTATAGCTAACATTCATACTTAATAGTAAAAGAGTGAATTCTTGATCCTTAAGATCAAAAGCATATATTGTCCAAAAAAGAAAGTTACTTATTACCTGATTAATGAAATGGTAACCTCTCTGTATAACACTTTGATAACAATAAAAGTATATTTAAAAAGATCAAAAGCAAGACAAAGCATGGGCAAAATATCAGAGTAAACATTTCCCAAGGAGAATACACTACCAAGCACAAGATGTTCAACATCAATAATCATTAGAAAAATGCAAACCAAAACTGCAGTGAGATACCAAGTAAGATGGATAAAGTAAAATTGTTACAAGTGTCTGTCAGTGAGGATGTAAAGAAATTAGAATGCTCATACATTGCTTGGTTTGAAATGTGAAATTGTGCAACCACTTCAGAAAAAAAAACCCCAAAACCCTAGCAGCTCTTTAGAATGCTGAGGATAGTCATATTGTTTCAGGGATCAACAATTTTACTGAAGTATAAATAAATAGATGTCACATAAAAACTTAGACACACATATTCACAGGAACATTAGCCATAATGGCTAAACATTGTGAGCGTCCCAAACCTCTGCCAACTGATGAATAGACATATTAAATGTAATATAACCATACCATGGGATATTACATGCCTATAGAAATACATGAAGTACTTACAAATAGGACAACATAAATGCAACATGAAAATGCTATGTAAAGTAGGGTAACAGTCATAAAAGCCAACGTAATGTATGAGTCCATTAATACTAAATGCCCATGTCAAATCTGTTAACAACTAGATGAGTGGTTGTCAATAGATTGAGATGGGAGAGGGGTGGGAGGTTGCAGAGAATGGAATTAATTGTCCGTTGATGAAGAGTTCCATTATGGAGTGATAAAATGCTCTCAAACTGATTGGGGTGTGTTTGTACAATTCTAAGTTTGAGTGAGTTGTAGTTACATAAATTATGTCTCATTAAAGCTATTATTTCAATGTATGTACATTGTAAATGAATTTTAATTTTGATGTCTGTCACAACAATCCATATATTCACTTAAGTGATCCATTGTATGTGTTCACAACTACTCTCTTTATAATGTGTAACAATAGATAGCTTTGATGAGTCCAACCTTTTAGAACATTCATTTGAAATAAAAATTAAAACCACTTAAACCATACATACTGTCTTCTGCATTGTTGTCATTACATCATCTCATTAACATGGTTTCTGTTCACCACTAGCTTTACTCCTAATATTTACCATATTTATAATCAATTTACTTAATCAGAAATGACATAATTACTTTTAGCAATCCACTTATGACAGTGCAGTGGCCCCATAATTTGTTCGCTACTAAAAGTCTCAATGTTCATCATCACAGAATCCATGGCAACTGAGAGAATTGATTGCTTCCATTATGTGGTACCTACCCCTTTGGAATCAATCACTCCAGGCTTCGCATTAAACTTCACTGTCTTCAATCGGGCACGCTCTTTTCTTTCCACCCTAAAGAAAATGGAAAATAAAAGGTCTGTTATCTGACAAGGCATTCACAATGAATTTCCTTATTAAGTAAAGAAGTCTTCCACCTATCCTTATAGCTTGAAATAAAGTGAAGCTGTTTTTCTTCTTTGATTTTTAGCATAAAAATTTTGGTGTACTATCTTTAAGCTTCTAATATAGCCCTTGAATTTTTTGTTACATGTACTGAAAGTTACAATCATTGAAAGGAGCGAGGAGAAAAGGAAGAAAATGCACAGCATTTGCTATTAAAGTGCTTAAATCAATCAAAATCTATTTCAAGAAATCATAGAAACCAACAAATGAAGTGGAGACGAAACAAGCACTTCCTCCCCTTCCTTCTCAAGAACAGTAGTTCATATGACTTCATTCGATAAGCAACCATGTCATACATAATCCCAACACTCCATCTAGGAGCCTCAAGTCCTCTGCCATGCTGCAGATTCATCATTTCACACACTGCTTCATTCATTCACAAAAAACTTCAGTGAGTGCCTTCCAGGTATCAAAGTCAGGACTGGGGAACAAAGAAATGTTTAAAAGCATCACTGCAAAGTGTTCTTGATAAGCATAGAGAGGTAAACGAAAGGCTGTGACTGGCCTGCAAGAAGTCTGATACCAGTGAGGGTATATGTATCTTGTTGGGAGGGATAAAATGGGAGTATGCAGCAGTGATCAGAGTAGGCTCCTTGGAGGAGATGTCCGTTTATGTGAGGCTGGAAGGATGGGAGAGAGCTGGTCAGTTAGGAAATGTGTTGAGGGAGTCTGCATAGATGACCAACAGTGCTGAGCTGTGACATGCTCAAGCCAGGAGCCTACAGAGGTGAGGGGAGGTGAACAAGACCGTGGATCCTTCCTAAAGGGGAGTGAGCCACCTCAAAGACTCAGCCCTTTTCCTAGAAGAACCTTGATGCATTGTTGAAGGATATAAGGCAAGGAAGTGACACAAGCAAATGAGCATTTTAAATAACAAGCCTAGTGCAGCTGGAAGACAGATCTGTGAAGGGAATGGGAAGAAGCTAGGGCCTACTTAGAAATTGTGAGCATAATCCATGCAATAGATGATGGACAATGGTAAGGAGTGGAGGAGAGAGTTGGGTTTGAGAAAATCCAGGAGGATAAAATTGGTAGCATCTATACATTTATTTTAAGGCCCTGGTTTAAAAAGAAAAAGGAAAAAAAAGGACCTATTTCCCTGATTTTCCCCAGTCCTTCCAGTTAGACATGGACTTCCCTTCTGAGTCACAATGGCATTTAAGTTAATATCTTCATTTTCTCCAGTTTATTTTGTTTTGGCATTGCCCATCTAAAGTTTCTTGAGGGCAAGGCTAGATATCAGTCAATAGTTTACACATAAGTCCTTAATAAACAATTGTTGAATAAAAATGCTTTTCTGTTTATTGTTTTAACATGACTTGGCTTACATATGGCTAGTGTTAAATTTGAGTTTTTATTTCTGAGGACAGAAAAGAGAGAGAGAGAAAAAATCCCTAAACCTATAGAAACTTAATGGTTTATGAAGCCTAAGTTATTCATAGATCAATAATTAGCTGCATACTCCTTTCTAACAGAGTTCTTTTGTGTTTCCAACTGAAACACAGTGAAGATCAGGGTTTCTATAGTTACAGAGTGAAGTTTCAGAATATATTTATTGCAGTATGAGACTAGAATAATTGAGTGGAAGCAGCTGAACAAAATGTTTCACATCTAACCTCCAATATTAAAGCAATATGTTCCATCGAGCCTCTTCTTCCACCTAACGTACAACAGTTGGGAGGAGAGAAAGAAAGACTTCAGCAATGATAAGATGCCAAGTGTAAAGCTGTTCCCTGAGAAAAGGCCTGCTCTGAGCTTCTTCAGCTTTTCCCAGTTACATCTATGTGCAAATTATTCATATTCATCTCTTCAGATTCTTCTAAAACTGTTGGTAGAGCACTAATTTTATTCTGACTTCTTTGTATTAATTAAGCTAATGATAGGATGTACTGGTTTATTCCATACTGTCAAAATCACCGTGGCACGTGGAAAATCCATGGCTACTTGACCAGAGGACGCGAATAAATTCTGCATGAATCCCTGTACTGCTATAGATCCCAAACATACATATGACTGAATTCAGTATTCATACCTGAGTCTGAATAGTTGGAATAGTTTAAAAGAACTATCTAGATTTAGCTTTCTAAGTCTGTTCCCTGGTTTCTAGGGTTATCCTTTTCGGTTTTCTTGAGAGATATCCAAAAAAAGCAAGATGGAGGGTGAATACTCCTGAAATGTCATAACTATGTGTGAAGATGGCATAAAGAATCTCAATGGAAGGTATGGGTCAACAGGGGCCTGTGGGCATGGAAAGAGGAAGCAATAGAGAGGGCTATTCTGATCACAGTATGTGACCTGAAACACCGTCCCTGGATACAATTAGAGCACAAGAGAAAAAGGAATGACAGGGAAGTAAAATGAAGTCTGCTCTGGGGAGCACCACACTGTCAGTGGGAGGGCTATCAGAGAGCGTGAATGAAGATGACCCTGGTCAAAGGACTTTGTTTGCATGTATGAACGTAGAACAATGACACCTGTTGAAATTGGAAGAAGGAGGAAGGGAATAAGGAGGAGAAAGTTACAGAGGAGGGGAGAGGAATAGGATTCATTGTCTGTATGAATGGTAATGTCCCAGTGGAAACTGCCCCTTACTTTGTACAAGTAATATATGCAAATTAAAAAAGGAAATATCCCTGTTAGACCAATTTTAGAGGTTCATCATTTAAATCGCAAGGTTTAACAAGAACAACATTAGGCATGCATACAGCTGCATATACAGATATTTATGTACTATTTTCTGTGAATGGTTATTCCTCTTCAAACAGGTATTAGGGAAAAACTGCCAGACTCAGCAGAAAAGTTCACAAGACTCTTATCTCCAATTAACTACGAAAATGCCAGAAGTGGATTTGTGGCTCAAGTGGTAGAGCTCTAGACTCAAGCAATAAAGCTCAAAGACAGCAGTGAAGCCCTGAGTTCAAGCCCTGGGACTAGCATGTGCACGTGCACACAAGTTATTCTCCATCTCACAACTTTTTAATAAGAAAAGTAGTGTCTCATTGAGGCCCCTTTGGCAAAAATAGATATTAAAAGCCAAATGCTTTTGTTAAAGAAATGATGGTGGTAGTTTCTGAACACCATCCCTGAGCAGAAAAAGCTAAGCTAGAGTTAAAGACCCTTAATTCAAGGCACTGTCCTGGCGCACGCATGCACACGCGCGTGCGCGCACACACATACACACACACACACACACACACGAAGAAAAGAAAGGAAAGGTAGATAGTCACTGACTCAATTCCAGTGGGAAAGCCTGCTATACTTTTCTTCTCCCACTTAGACACAAGCAATTAATTAAATTGTTTGAGCAGAAATAATCCTTCCCACCCTAGTCTCATTCCTGACCAAAATACTAAATACAAAGTGGATGGCAAAATTAGAGCAATGAACTTGGACACCTAGTATCTCCAGAAAGCACCCAGTGCCCACACTTGAATGAGCCCAACTGTCTCCTTTACCCTTTTCCCCTATCTCCCATCTGGTGTGTTCAGGTTCCAGCCAATCGCATAGTGGGTCAGGCTTGGAGGCCTGGATAGGGGAACATAATTGGTTCCTCAGAGTTTGCCTGTGTGCTGCAGGCCCTGTGGGAGGGAAAACAGAAATATCATCCACCTTGGTAGTCACAGGCTTGCTGTGAAAGGTAAGTGACAAATTCTTATGTAAGACACAGGCTGTGATCTGACCACCCAGGTAGTCAGTCACTATGGAACAGCGAAAAGACACCTGGATGAAGAGACTGTGGGAGACATCTTAGTTTGGCTATTCATCAACTATAATCAAAAGGAACAGGAATCCCATGTTATGAGCCCAGAGTTTGAAATCATACAAGCCTGCGTCTGCCATTTGCTAGGTTCTGTGACTGAGGGAGGTCCTTCTGCCTTTTAGGATCTCAGTTTTCATGCTAGTAGAATTAAAATAATAACATGCTTTGGAAAATTATGCTGGATGTAAAATGAGGTAATATAAGACAACCATTTAGTACAGAGTCTCACAGAGTCAGGATCAGCACGTGATAGGTGGCTAAGACAACTATGCTACAACTGCCTCCGATATCACTTGCCATCCTTGTTTGCAATTTTCACCTTGGAAATGGTGCCCTGCTTTAGGTTCTCACTGCCATTGTTACCCCTCCATGCCATGTGTGACCAAGGCAAGGGCTGTTTTCCTCTGAGGGGAGTCCCCCAAAGTGGACCATCAGATCCGGGAGCCATTAGGAGGAGAAGAGTCCAGACCTTTGCAGTTGCTGATAGAGATTCGAGAAAGATGAATGCTCGAATCCTAGCCTCAGTCCCTGCTGCCAGTGTAACTTTTGCAGGCTAATCAGATTCTCTGGTACTGTTTCCATAACTGGTGAGTGCTCTTAGAGTAGTGCTCCTGATGTAGTGGAAAGACAGCTAGTTTCTCTCTCTCTCTCTCTCTCTCTACATATATATACACTCTATATATGTAATTTTTAATACATTTTTATTGTAAAAATACTGTACAGAGGGGTTACAGTTACTTGAGCAAGTCCATTTCCTATCAAGCATTGTTGCCTCCTCCTTTGTTTTTCCCCTACCATCCCTTCCCTCTCACCTCCACAACTATACTCCCCCCACCCCAGGCTAAATTGTAAAGTTAATTTTTCAACATAGTGTCGTGTACATCTCGTTGTTACAATGGGTCAACCTGTATTCCTATTTAAGCATTTTCCTTTTTCCCTTCTCCTCCCCAAATTAGAGAAGTGTATATACAAGATGCAGGGCACCAACATCAAATACAGTGAAAACAGGTTATACCGTGGAGGAGGAACATACAAAGAAACAAAAATATCACATGGTATATTATAAATACATTAGAAACAATAACAAGATTGTAAAGTTGTAAAGTTCATTTTTCCACATAACGACTAGTACATCTCATTGTTGCGATGGATCCATACAATTTTGGTGGGAGGGGGAGGAGGATTGGGTGGGGAGGTGGGGGGGGGGGGGAGGATGGGAAGGGGAAACAAAGGAGGAGGCAACAATGCTTGATAAGAAATGTACTCATTATCTTGCCCATGTAATTGTAACCCCTCTGTACAGTATTTTCACAATAAAAATTAAAAAACAACAAAAACAATAACAAGAAAGAAAAAAACCACTTGTGTCCCTATCTTGGGGTTCACTTCACTTAACTTCATCTTATCTGGTCATATGTACATAGCTTTTAAAGACATCTAGTCTTATTCCCAGAAAGACATTGGCCGAGCCTGTGGCTGGCTGTGATGCCAAGGCAAGCTACTTGAGTACTGGCTCTCACTTTCCTTATGGATCTTTTCTGAAAATTAAATTGAAAGCAGGTATTGAAAGCATCTGGCACAATACAGAGTGGTAGAGTTAATGTGCCCTTCCAAACTCAGAATGAAATGTGAATGAGGTTGGAAGAGGTGGGACCAGGCAGAAGCGCCAAGGCATAAGTGGGTTATGAGGGCCCTACCCTGATGACAGGATTCATCTATTTAATCATCTACAGACTGCTGGGTTATTGTGAGGGTGCGTCTGTTACAGAAGCCTATTTAGCTCTACCTCTCTTCTGCCCCTACCTGTCAGTAACATCCTTCAAAGCCTCAGGATTCTGCAGTCCCTACAAACGAGACCTTTACTAGATGTGGCTCTGCAACTGGGACCTTCCCATTCTCCAGAACCAGGAGCAAATGAACCTCTATACGTAATCAGTGACCCAATTGCTGGTATTCAGTTATAGCAACAAAAACAGGCTATGTAATGTAGTCAGTGAGATCATCAGATAGAATATATCCTTCCATCCACTGCTCTTTCACCTTTATAATGGAGCCTTTATGGCCTATTCACAGGGTATCTGTGCCACAGGCACCTGCTGAGCCCGCAATCATGGACCAGGTTGGGCCCAGCAGGTGCCTATGATTATATACCCTGACATACCCCAATAATACTTGCTGAATTCGCTTTTGTCAGCTCTCCTTTTTGTATTGTTGGGAGGCAGGATTGCCTGAATCAAGAGCAATTCTGTAGCCTGAATTCGAGTCCCAGTTCTGCCATTTACTAGAGCCATTTCAAGCAAATCAAAAAAACTCTCTGGGCTTCAACTTCTTCATTTAAAAACTAACATCCTACTCATAGGGTTTAAATGAGGTTTAAATAACTGAATAACAGTAAAGGGCTTCAAAGTGGTAACATGTTATGGGAGAATTTGATTCGTCAAATGCATTCACCATCCTCAAAAAAAGGATGAGGAAAATGACAACAGTCAGAGTTTTTATTTTATAGCTTCATGCTGATGAACCATCAGCACAGAAATATTTTTGGAAAAGGTAAAGCAATACAGGGGCTGGGAAGGTGGCTCAGTGGTAGAGTGCTTGCCTTGCATGCATGAGCCTCTGGGTTTGATTCCTCAGCACCAATAAGAGGAAAAAGCCGGAAGTGGTGCTGTGGCTCAAGTGGTAGAGCCCTAGCCTTGAGCTGAAGAGCGCAGGGAGAGTGCCCAGGCCCAGAGTTTAGGACCCACGACTGACCAAAAAAAAAAAAAAAGGTAAAGCAATACATGGATGTTATCCATTATAAACAAATTGTTTAAATAGGGATACAGGTGGACCCATTGCAACAGTGAGATGTACAAGATGTTATGTGGAAAAATGAAATTTACAACTGGAGGGGGCAGGAGATGGGAGGGCAGGGATAGTAAGGGGAAACAAAGGAGGAGGCAACAATGCTAGATAAGAAATGTACTTATTATGTTGCTCATGTAATGCCTCTGTACGGTATTTTCATAATAGAAAAACCTTATTATTATTATTAATAATAATAAAGGCAAAGCAATACATGGATGTTATCCATTATGAGATAGTTCCAGGCCAGCATCAATTTATATACTATACTTAAGAGATAGGTTAAAAAGAAATTAGGAATTAAAATATCTAATTTAATAAATGTATTTAGTTTTTAAATTGTATTAAAATTCATATATAACAACTCTTTGTGAGATAGGAATACAATTAGTTCTTACTTTCTTGTATTTTTCCTTAAAATTCTTCCTTTTTTACAATTATAAATTATTTCCAAATCTGTACAAATCAATAAAAGCAATGTGTTTGAAATAACTAAAACCCTAAGCAGAAACTTATTGATAGCTATAATTTGTGTGTGTGTGTGTGTGTGTGTGTGTGTGAGTGAGAGAGAGAGAGAGAGAGAGAGAGTATGTGTGTCTTGGGGCCTGAACTCAGGGACTGGGTACTGTTCTTGAGCTTTTGTGCTCAAGGCTAGCACTACCACTTTGAGCCTTAGCTCCATTTCTGGTATTTGCATGGTTTATTGGAGATTAAGAGTCTCACAGACTTTCCAGCCTAGGTTGCTTTGAACCACAGTTTTTAAATCTCAGTCTCCTAAGTATCTAGGATTACAGGTGTGAGCCATTGTGGCTAGGCTATAGCTATGGATTTTTATATAAGATATAAATGCATATTGAAATAAACAAGTATATTTTATTTGTGTCAAATTAACATTTTTCAGGGGGAGAACTATTCTCTTCATAAAATAGAATACAAATAAAAATATCAATATTGCAGATCCTGAACAAAGTTGTTCTCCAGGTAAGCTGTAGTATATCTGTTTTGTGTGTGGGTGTGCGCCAGTTGTGGTTTGAATTCAGGGCCTGTCCCCAAGCTTTTGTTGCTCAAGGCTAGTGCTTCTACCACAGCTCCACTTCTGGCTTTTTGGTGGTTAATTGAATATAAAAATCTTGTGGACTTTTTTGTTTAGACTGTCTTCCAACCATGAACCTCAGAACTCAGCCTCCTGAGTAGTTAAGATTACAGGCATGAGCCATCAGTGCCCAGCTTCTAGTATGGTTGTTAAGATGAAGTGAATCATAATAGCCAGTTCAAGAATAGCCCTAGCAGGTAGGAAATCATCCTTTTAGGAAGAATAGCACTGAAAGTGTTTCTCAGGGCAAAAATGATAAGCAAGTGGACAAATGAATGACTAATTGGTTACAATCACAGAACCTGAGGGTTAAAAAGGGTCTAAAATATCATATAGTGATATTTCCCATTCAAAGTTTCAATTCCTTTGCTATTTTCCCAGGCTTCCCATGCCATGTATTGACAGTAGAAGGATTTCAACTAGTAGAAGAATTTCTTTACTACCAGTGAGCTGAAATTTATTTTGGGCATAGCTTTCTTTCCTCTATCCCACTTTGACCTGTGGGGCCATATCAACAAGGTGGCCCCTTCTACACAATAGCGTCTCAGTCAACTCTGATTAGTTCAATCAGAACAACTCAAAATGCATGTGGTCTTGACATTTTTAAATCTGAAGGAAGTGAAATGGAAAAACAGAATATAAATAAACTAAGAAGCACTGCTTTGAATATCTAAACCTTCAAAAACAACAACCCCCAAACCCTAACACTGTAAGCTATAATGCAAAGTCAGACTGCCCTCACTAAGTACTAAGGCAATTAGGAGACCAGAGGTTTAAAGAGACCCAGAGAAATACATGTAAATGGGAGGTCCCTAGACAAAATCTAGTGATGAAAAGGCTTCTTGGAGTTTCAGCCAGTTCAACTGTGACATCTCATTGAAGATAGAGAGAGCTGGTAAACAGCCACTGACCTGCTTCCTGTCCCACCATCCCTCCCCATCTGTGTGGCACCTGCTCCTAACCCTCCTGCCACACCAGTCCCCAGCTGTGTTAGGCAGAGGATGATGGAGACCAGGCTTCTTTTTATGCACTGCAGTTGTATCATAGTTAGCCTTGGGACATAATTTACACGTTTCCACTACCGTTTTTCTTCATCCCTCTATCCCTTTGTATGGAAGGTCACCTGAATACTCAGCTTCACACAAGGGATTTTTTTTTTATAAAGGTGTTTGGGTCTGGAGTCCCAGATGGGAGCTCCTCAAGAAGCCAGTGGCTAGGGATAAGTTGAAGACTGTTTTGGATAAGCAAGATTGTGTACTACATCTGTTTTCTAGCAGAAAGTCAATTTCTGCTTCATGGACAACATCTTCCTGTCAAAATTATATTTGTGGGGAAGAAAGTCAATCTGGTGAGGAGGCTTAGATGCTGTGAGCAGAAATGAAGGCGCTAGTCATTGCTGAAGAATACTTGTGATTTTCAAATGAGAACTGAAGAAATGTTTGGATGACACAAGGCTTGATGCTGTGACATAGAAGACACTCACATAGTGCTATCTGAATGACTAATGGGGACCGTGTGAAGACAGGAAAACATTCCAAGCTCCTATATGACAACTCAGATCCTACATACCTGAATTTGGGATGGAAATTTTCATCCATTTTGAAAGTAGGTCATGGTCAGGGCCTTAGCTTAGCAAATCAACTATTTAATTTGGCTTCCATTTTGCCTTTCTATAAATGCATTCAAAAATGGAAAACCCCTGGAATAAACTCACTTGAGTATGCAATCAGCAGTAAGGATGACTGATGAGCAGAACCATGCATATGAGGTTGCTGAGGGAAGTTTTAGAATCTTTTTCTTTTATGCCTTGCTACTGTCACCAATTTTGGTAAAAGCTTAACACAAGCAGAATGACAAATTCTTATTCACATCACCTGTCACCACTGACAATTACCCTCCAGACGGTTGATCCTCCTTGAATAGTTATTTTGTGAAGTTTCTCCCAGCATCCTTCACTTCCACACCAGCTAGCTAAGAAGCAAACACAGCCATACACCACAGGCATTCTTACCTCCGTTTGCTGGGGATAACACCCATCTCCTCACTGTCTCCCTCCAGTGTGACTCTCCTGGCTTGCCACCACTCATCGTCGGAGGCGTTAATGACGTGGAGAATATCTCCATACTTAAAACTAAGTCCTTGACTTGGCAGCCCACTGTCCTTGCTCTTGTCGTAGTCAAACATTGCTCTGAAAGAAGTGACAAGACAGCTTGATGAGTGATCTCATGGTTAGCAAAGTCCTTATAGAAAATTTATGCTTTTGAAGGTTCTCGTTTGCCCTGAGGCACCATCACTATTTGATATCAACTCCCACGGCACTTCCTGGAATACAGTCCACATTCTCACTGTTTGGGCCACAACTGAGATCAGTTCTTTCTTTCCCTTGCTGGCAATAGTAATGGATTACAGATTCCTAACACACGGGTCCCAAAAACTGGGTCTGCTTCCATTGTATAGATCATTACATGTTACAAGGCAATAATCAGGAGTAACAAATAATGAATTTACTACCAGAGATATTTTCCCCTCATTACAATCAGTGTTTAAAAAATATTTGTATTATCTTTAGTTGTATGAAGGAGTTCCATTTAATAAAACAGTTCATGATATAATGCATCTTTTCTAAAAAATATATATATTTATTGTAAAGATACTGTACAGAGCTTCTGCAGGGCAAATGACATAGCTAGCAAGATCAATAGAAAGCCCACAGATTGGGAGAAGATCTTTACTAGCCATACAACGGAAAAGGGTCTCATATCTAAAATATACTTGGAACTCAAAAAATTAACCCCCCCAACAACAAATCCTCAAAGAAACAACTGCCCAATAAACAAGTGGGCGAAAGACTTAAAGAGAAACTTCTCTGAAGAAGAAAGAAGGATGGCCAATAGACACATGAAGAAATGTTCAACATCCCTAGCCATAAAAGAAATGCAAATCAAAACAACATTGAGATATCACCTCACCCCAGTTAGAACGGCAAAAATCAAGAACTCAACAACAGATGCTGGAGGGGATGTGGACAGAAAGGAACCTTACTTCTTTGTTGGTGGGAATGTAAACTTGTTCAACCACTTTGGAAAGCAGTATGGAGGTTCCTCAAAAGACTTCACATAGAACTCCCCTATGACCCAGCAATCCCACTTTTGGGCATTTACCCAAATGTTTACAAACAAGACCACACTAAAGCTACCAGCACAACAATGTTTATTGCAGCATTATTTACCATAGCTAAGATATGGAACCAATCCAGATGCCCCTCAGTAGATGAATGGATCAAGAAAATGTGGTATATATACACAATGGAATTCTATGCCTCCATCAGAAAGAATGACATTGCCCCATTTGTTAGGAAATGGAAAAACTTGGAAAAAATTATATTAAGTGAAGTAAGCCAGGCCCAAAGAAACATAGGTCCCATGGTTTCCCTTATTTGCAATATCTAGTATATGTATGAGTCAAGTGGAAAAGGTCAGATAATGTGATGTCAGGAAAATGAACCCTTAGATATGTATTTTAATGTTTTTTTCTTTCATGCATGTGTTTCTAACGCATTTATAAGATTATCTCTTTGTTGCTTTGTATGTCCCTCCCCCACAGTATAACCCCTGCTTTCACTATATTTGATGTCAGTATAACTTGTGGAGGAGATGGGGAAAAACCAGTTGTTTAAGGATACAGGTGGACCTGTTGCAACAATGAGAAGTACAAGTTGTCATGTCCAAAACGAGCTTTACAACGTCGGGGGGGGGTAGAGGGGGGGGAAGGAGAAGGATTGGGATTGGGGGGGAGGGGGGAGGCTGGGAAGGGATGTGAAGGGTAAACCAAAGGAGGAGGCTGCAATGCTTGGTAAGAAATGTACGCATTATCCTGCCCATGTAATTGTAACCCCTCTGTACAGTATGTTCACAAATAAAAAAAAAAAAGATACTGTACAGAGGGGTTACAGTGACATGAGCGAGTATTGTTATCTTGATCCAACATTCCTTCCCATCCATCCCAAACCTTCCCTTCCCTCACTTTTCTTAATTTTGTAGGATATACATTAGGTTTTGGACTGTATCCTCCCTCTGCTTCTCTTCATTCCCCTCTTCCCCACTTCCCCTGACCCATCTTACTCCTTTCAAGTATCTGTTTCCTGTATTTATCTTTGCTGAACTTTGATTAAGCCTTTCTATGAAATTACACTGTTTGACTTCTCCCTGAAATCTACTGTATTTCAGTTAATACCTGGTGTACAATTGCATACTATCCAAAATATTTACTTCTATGTTTACAAACTAATTCTAGAGGTCTGGAAGCAGACTCACATGGTAGAGTGTCTGCCTAGTAACAGTAAGGTATTAAGTTCAAACATAGTACTGGTTTCCAATAGGGGGTGGTAAGCACCTGTCTAGCAGGCATAAGGCCTTGATTTCAACTCCAATATTGCACCAAAAAGTTCTTTAAAAGAGATATGAAATGTAGAGAAGCACAACTTTCTGTATAAAAGTGCTTTTATATTATAAACAAATCCTCTCAGAAGCATCAGCTTGTGGAACTCAAAACTTTGTAATAGGGAAAGACAGAAGTGTCTGCCCAGTGCCTATGATTCTTCTAGACAATCAAATATTAGACCATCTCTGATACTGGATAGCTGATGGGGTGAATATAATAACCTGAATGAAGTCTTCAAATGAAAGAAATACACACACCTCCCACATATATCTGCATATAGGTAAGATAATAATTAAATGGACAAAACCACAAATAGTTCTGCTTCCATAAATTGCCAGGCCTTGTTCATCACTTTACTTATTAATGAATTCTAATTCTTGATCCTTGCTGGAGAGCACTTGCTAAGCCTTTACTAGGGTCAATGTACTGCAGGAGTTGGAAACATAATAAAAATGATGAATGAGACCTGATTGATTAGCTGTTTGTCTTATGGAGATAATTTATTCCAAGTCTTACACTGTCTACCTGTGCCTGTATCTCCCACTCTCAAATTCCACCACTACATGCATACAACACATATCTTCCAAGGAGAAGCAATTTTACCACCTCTCTATTTATCCCTTTGATTCCATTCTAAGAATTTCCTTGGAGTGTAACCACTACACATGGAAAGCAAGCTGAATTTAAGTGAATAGATTTTTCTAAAAGTACTGAGAACCAAGTGTGGCTCCTTTCTTTCTTCTTTCTTTTTTCCTCCATCAAAGAAATGTCACATCTGCTGTCTTGGTAACAAAAGAAAAAAAAAAGGATGAAGACAGCTTCTAAGTTTCATATACTGAATTACAACCCAGCCACTTCTTCTATCTCTATGTGATGAAATTCAGGGAGAGTTTTGTGCTCAGCTCCTAGAATAAATTATTTCCTTTTGACCATTTACCATCTCTCTGAAGGACTCAGACAGAAGGCCACGCCTGGAGAAGGGAAGGGTAAGATAGTAAAAGCTCCTAACAGACACTGTTGGCAGTGATAAGATATGGATGAATGAACTCTCCTGAGCAACATGGATGCAACATGGATTCTAACAGCTATCTCTACATAAAGTTGTTAGCATGTATGCAAGACTAGTGGCCAGGGCTGTAGGGAAATAAAATAGAAAGAGTCAGGGGCCACACTTGTGGGGAGATGTCCTTTTCTCATGATGCAACTGTGATTATCTGGGGATGCTGTTTAATCTCTGGCTGGCCTCGCGCCCCACATCTGACACAGTGATGATGACAACAGTAACTTCATTGTGGACTTGTGTGGGTGAGGTGTTACATAAGGTGTTAAGTTCTATGCACATACAACCAGAGCCAGGCACACAGGGACAATGAGTAACTATGAACTACTTTTCTCTTTTGAGTGATTACCAAGAAAACTACTTTCTACAGATTCTACTGTGAAAAAAAGAAAAAAAAGTTAACAATAGTAGGCCTGAGACCACTATCCTTAAAGATGTCTGTTGAAAGACCTATGGTCACCTAATCTTTGATAAGGGAGCCAAATTCATCAAATGAAGATAGACAGCCTCTTCAACAAATGGTGTTGGCAGAATTGGCTGTACACATGTAGAAAACTGAAGTTAGATCCTTATATATCCCTCTGCACCAGCATCAACTCAAAATGGATCACAGACCTCGTGGTAAGAGCAAAGACCCTGAAAATATTATAGGAAAGGATAGGGGATACTCTAAGGCTTCTTGGCACAGGTGGAAGCTTCCTAAACTGTATAAATCATGCCACAGAGCCCAAACACTTGTCTTCCCTCTGGGAGTTTGTAGCAGTGCCATGTTCCAGGCAGAGGCTGCCTGTGTGACCAGGCCCCAGCCCCAAGATCTAGTTCAGTGCCCCTCATTCGACTTCCATTCAACCTCAGAGATGGTGGTGGTGAGAACCAAGTGCTGAACCTGCGGGTAACAGTCATGGCTGCCACAAATTACAAGGTTATTAGGCAGCCTGGTCCATAGCAGGTATTGTTTTTCTTATTGCCATAACAACCTTAAAGGTATAAATGTACAGGCTGCATGCACACCCATGGAGAATGAATATAAAAAGAAGTCTGACTCCAAAATTCACACTTGTGGCTATGTTATCATATGGCTCAATTTCCTTCCCTGTCACCTTCTGATGGTGACCTGGCAGTACCCAGGGCCTTACACCTTCCTGTCAAAGGTGACCCTCTTCTTCCACCATACATTCCTGGATCTTCAAACCCTAACAGTACTTGAACTCCAGGTCCCTGGGGGAGTGGAGACAGAGAAGCCATCAGAAAAGCTGCCATATGGTCGCCAAGAAGGGACACACAAGGGTGACACTACCTGGGTTGGTGACCTTTTAACTGTGGGCTTGAACAAGTTATTTAAACTCTCTGGCTCTTCTGTTTTCCTACCTGTAAAATTGGTATAACATTAGCTAACTTAAAGAGGAATGGTGAGATTCAATGAAATAATATATGCCAATGTATGCAACACTAACTTGGCACTTGAAGACGCACAATAAATATGAGTTATGATTACAAAGAGAACTGTTGTTGCTTTGAAAATGACTGAGCTTTGAACCCATGAGATCTAGGGCTCAGTGGGGCCATTGGCAGCCATCTTCGGGACTCTTCAGATTTCTCAAATACCTCTAGCTTTGGGACCACATGCAATCTGGGGTACCATGTAGATGCTCAACATTGGGAAAAGCAATTGGGAAGCCTCACATATC